AGAAGAACCCGTCCAGAAGACCTATACAATTTTTATTCTTTTTGATTTTTTTACCTGGATTACTGAGATGCATCAGGACACGATCATCTTCATTCTAGGCTGCATCTGCTACAGTATGTCCTGCTGGAATGTGATGTGATTTATGTCATACAGGTGTGATGGAGTGAGTTCAATCCAATAGGATGTCAGAATGGTTTATATTTACTCTTCTCATCCAATCACAATCAAATTCACTCTATCCATGGGCTCCATGTGTCTGGATAGATTTCTGTTTATTGATTTATTTTTTTCTGAACAATGAAAAGATGTAATAAAACAAGTCAAAGTTAAATAGAAATGAAATACTTTTTGCATTTTTAAAAAGTAAGGAGTGGAAAATACAGATAACTGAATTGAAAAGTAAGGAGTAGGAGTAAAAAGTAGGCTGAAAAATAATTTCTCCGCTAAAGTATAAATAACCAAAAATTCTACTTAAGTAAAGTAACAAAGTATTTGTACTTAGTTACTTGACACCTCTGGTTAATAGCTACTAATAATAGTGATATTAATGATTAGAACTTAAGGACTGGCATTCCTTGAAGGGACATAATAGTCTTCTATGTAATTTAAGGTTAAATTTATCTTATGTTGACAAAGTTTGAGTTGCAGAAGTTGATCAGACCAGCTTAAATTCTTATGCAACTTCTCAGGCTATGTGTTAAGAATCTGTTAAAAGTTTGCTACAATCACTTAAAACCTTAGCTCACATCTGTCAATTAGACCATTCCGTAGTTAAATGTGCATGCCCAAAGTGGCAGGGTCACAGATCATAAGGCCTAACTGCTGAGGTTGGAAACGCCTTTGGAACTGAACAAATTCAATTATGTGATTATACAAACCTGATCTTTTTCTCTACACGGATTTGTGTTAACTTATCTGACCCTCGTTAGCCGGGAAGGAATGTGAATACATTTATCGTTTTGTCACTGGTGCATGACAAGTGGCTAACTTTTAAGCCAATAAAAGTTAGAATTTTTCAGACATATTTAATTCTGGCGTGGAAAAAACAACATAAAATTGGATTTAAAAGAGACATGTATGATGCTTTTAATGCTTCTTTTTCACATTTATATCATTAAGTTTGGGTCTAAAGTGGAACTGCACTGAATTCCTCCTTATTGTAACTCCACAAGCCCTGCTTTCACTCCCTTTCTGAGTTGGGTCTCAGCTCAATAGATAAACAGTGTGTGTGTGTGTGTGGGGGGGGGGGCAGATTTAATAGCTATGTGGGTTTGTTTATACTGAATAACCTCTGACCTCTACCCACAATGCACTGTGCAGAGAACACTATAAAATGATCCAGTGATAGAAGCTGGAGGGCTGTTATTGTTGCATTCTTCAATTAGTCCTCAATTGGAGACATCAGGTCCTGGTAGGTGTCATGGATGAACAGCTGAAAAGTATTGGACACATTAGCAAGAGAGAAGACTTACTGAGACAAAGCATATTGATTTTGGCTGACTGACATACAGTATATTGCACTCAAATATAAATGCACAGTAATTGTCCTTTGTGTATAATATATCCCATTCATCACCATACTCTATTGTCTATTGAGAGATGTCACTAACATCACAAGAGTCCTTGGATGCAAAGTTATTTTCCCCCAGATCCTATAAAACTATGTGGGTTTGAATTTGAAGAGCATTTTATTATTATTATTATTATTATTATTANGCAGGCTCTCAGGTGAAAAACCGAAAATGAAATTTTCTGAGCTCCTAATATTAGTTTTCACTCAGTGAAGCTCTTTTCAGATTAAAAATACGGGGTGCGGGACTCTTGATCAGGGTTTCACAGATTCAGAAGGCTTTTAGTTCGATACTAGCCTGGTCCTTGCCTTCCTACGCAGTTCCGCTCAATTCTAGTTTCCCTTCACTGCTCCATCTGAGATTTCTCCCATAGACAAGGATTTCTTCAGGAGAATTTTTGTCGGGGCCAGTCAGAGAACAGAACATCTATTTTCTGTAGAGTGTCTGCTAGTTACTTTAGCATACAGCAGTGGAGGAAGTGAATGAATCCAGTCCGTGTTGATAAGGCTTCCAAATTAAATTAAATTTGTCTGACAAAGCAGCAGCTCTCATTTACAGTCGTCTCGTTCAACTCGGTACTTCTCTCCTCTCAGCAGGGTTGTTTATAGCGCGTGCAATTTCCCGTTAGCTTCTTAGCTTAGCCTCCTTCGTCGCGGCCAACAGATCCAATCATTTTAAACTTCAGCAGAGGCCACGCCTCCAGCAAGAATCACTTCTATAGCCTTGAGTCCAGACCCCCGTACGAAGCAAAGTGAAGGACAAGGGTCTGGTTTTCACCAGGCTAGTTAGATACATGCCTGATTTAAAACAACACATATAAGAACTGTGATTAAACATTGGGGTGAGGAATAATGTCTGACATCTTGACTCTGTGTAGAAATAGCCTGCCCACTTTAACATTTGTCATGAGGTGGAGTCAGGATGTGAAGAGGTGTGTTACTTAATGTGTGTTTCCTGGTTCTGGTTACTGTTTAACTGCTGCCTGTTGGAGGCAGATTAAAGCAAAAGTTAATCAGTCCACAGCTGTGTCCAGATGGTTTTGTATGGCTCACTCAAACATTCACATGTCATTTTTATTAAGTGGTGTTAGATCTGAACAGGTAAAGGGTAAAGAACGTCGCATTTTTTTTTAACAGTGGCATAAGTTATCTAAAACTTTATAGTGTGACAGGGCCTTTGGCTTTAGGTCTCTCAGTCTTTGCACATATCCATAAACACAAGGATTATGGTTTCCACTTGGTTGTAAGTTACTAAGAAGATAATGTAGTCAATCTATAATTGTTGCCTGTAGAATGAGAGAGACAAAACTACTGAAAATGATGTGTTTGTTTTTTTCTCTTTAGGATGAGCGCTGTGCGGCAGATCCAAAGTTGCTTAAGATTTACGCATCATTCAGCTCAGTTAACCTGCAGAAGAAGGGTTTGTACTTCACAGGTGAGTTAC